CGTCCCTGCCAGCCCTGAGCTCTGCTCAAGGCTTCAAAGTTTCAATTATAGAAGATAAATAAATCCCCAATACCTGCTTCCAGCCCACGGCCGTGGCCAGCTCAAAGGGGGTGTGGCCAGCCTGAAATTGGCCCTCAGCCCCTCACCCAGGCTGGCCAGGCACCCTAGTGGGACCCCCACCCTGATCCGGGACACCCTTCAGGGCAAAGCAGCCAGGACCCCACACATGCACCAGGCCTCTATCCTATATTATAAAAGGGTAATATGCAAATTGACCCTAACAACAGAACCACTGGGAATGACTGGTCACTACGACACACACTGACCACCAGGGGGCAGATGCTCAATGCAGGAGCTGCCCCCTGGTGGTCAGTGCAGCACTGTGGCGGGAGCCTCTCCGGCCTCCTCAGCAGCGCTAAGGATGTCCGACTGCAGCTTAGGCCAGCTCCCTGCTGGCAAGTGGACATCCCCCAAGGGTTCCCGGGATGCCAGAGGGATATCTGACTGCCAGCTTAGGCCCGATCCCCCAGGGGCCCCAGACTGCGAGAGGGAACAGGCCGGGCTGAGGGAATCCCCCGAGTGCACAAATTTTTGTGCACCAGGCCTCTAGTATATATATAAAAATAAATGTATGATTGCTTTACAAAGAAAATGGCAATAAATTTAGGGCAGGGTTCAGAAGAATAGCTTTAAGAAGATAATATATTCTATCCTATCTAATAATAGACAAACATGGTAATTGACCATAACTTCGCTACACCTCCCATTGGCTAATCAGTACAATATGCAAATTAACCACCAACAAAGATGGCGGTTAATTTGCATACTGCAGGCAGGGTGGGACAGCGCCATCCCGCCTGCCCTGCCGCCATCCGGGCCTGCTATCTGTGACCCAGGGCAGCGGGTGTCTGTGTGCAACCTGACCTGGGGCGGCCGGGCTGTTCCACCCAGGTGTCCCATGTGCGACCCCACCTGGAACGGCACCCCAACCCCTGGATCAGCCCTGCTGTGTGCACGACCCGAGAGGCAGGGCAGGCACCGAGGGATCGGGCCTGCCATCTGCCACCCGGGGAGCGGGCCTAAGCCAGCAGGTGGTTATCTCCCAAGGGGTCCCAGACTGTGAGAGGGCAGAAGTGGGGCTGAGGGACACCCACCCACCACCCCTCCCCCGCCAGCTCACAAACTTTTGTGCACTGGGCTTCTAGTTTAAGTTATATGACCTAAATAACAATAAAAACAATCTTCTTTCAACAACAAAAAACAATTCCTAAACTATACAGGAAAGCCATATTCTAAAATAACAAAGAAAACAAAAACATGTCATTTTGAGAAATGATTGGGAATATAAGTCACCTCCGAGCATACAAATTATAGACATATATTTCCTTCTTTATAGATCCCCTCTCATCACTACTGAATTCTTCAGTAAATCTATATATATAAAACCCTAAGCGACCGTTCAACTGGTCGCTATGACGCACACTGACCACCAGTGGGCAGACACTCAATGCAGGAGCTGCCCCCTGGTGGTCCGTGTGCTCCCACAGCAGGAGCGCCACTCAGCTGACCGATGGGTGCCAACTCACGGCTAGCAAGGACAGGTGCTGCAGCACGAGTCTCTCCCGCCTCCGGGGCAGCGCTACTGCAACAGGTGCAGCACTACTGCAACAGGTGCAGCGGCACGGCGCCCGGACTGGGCTCAGGCTCCTCCCAGGTCGCCTGCCACTTCGCGCACTACTACCTCCCCCGAGGGGTCCCAGATTGTGAGAGGGCACAGGCTAGGCTGTGGGACCCCACTGGTGCACGAATCCACGCACCGAGCCTCTAGTATCTTCATAATCAAGATGTCAAAAAAATGCAGACATTGTTTTTCAGTACTCAGAATTAAGCTTTCATGCTTCATATGCTGTAAACCATAATTACAGAACTAAAGACTGAAATGTACTATATGTAGAAGTAACTTAACAGATAACAAAAATGGGGAGGACCATTTGAAGACAGGGTAATATAAGAATGTTATAATTCATTATAAACATGATAAATTAAAAACTATTATTTAAAAACTCTGGGAGCAGGAATCACTTCATTTCATAGTCTAATCCCTAGCTTAGGGCTTTCATTCTTATACTAGAGGCCCAATGCACAAAATTAGTGCAAGGGGCTCGGCCCCCACTGCCATGGCTCCTGCTGTCACAGCTTCATCCAGAAGGTTGTCTGGAAGGACGTTTGGTCTAATTAGCACATTATGTTTTTATTATTATAGATTATAGATAGACCATTACAATACCTTTAAGTCTACCTGCCTCTACTATCCAATATGTCTTTTATTGAATAGATAAAATAGACACTATGTGTGACATGCTCAAGATCACAAGGCTAACTATTAGGGATGTAGCTAAGACTTTTTTTTTAAATATATTTTATCGATATTTTACAGGGAGGAAGGGAGAGGGACAGAGAGTTAGAAACATTGATGAGAGAGAAATATCGATCAGCTGCCTCTTGCACACCTCCCACCAGAGAAATGCCCGCAACCAAGGTACATGCCCTTGACCGGAATCGAACCTGGGACCCTTCAGTCCGCAGGCCAACGCTCTTTTCACTGAGACAAACCGGCTAGGGCAGCTAAGACTTTTACAATAAGCCAAATGGGATCTCCAATCTCCTAAGATGTAAGAATAAGGTTCTGAGTAAGGGCTCAGGAAGTAAAGTAGTAACGTAGACAGAGGTTTTTGTAATTTCTGAACTTAGTTGAACAAAGCAGTAACTTTAAAATGTATAAAAAAATTTTAAAAACACAATGTTCTGTTGAGAAACAAGGAATAAAATCTTCCAAATTTTTATGAAATAATCAGGTTAAACAACTCCTTCAATTTGTGCTTGGTCAGTACCTACTATGATGCATTTACTTATAGGTGCTCTATGTAATTTGGTTTTAATGTGAATTTTTCATTTTCTTGAGCTACACAAGATTTTTGGCATGTTAACAAACAGAAAACATTCAGTCACCAAATATAAGCCCTACTGTTTACCCATTGCTACTGATACACATACAATTAAACTGTTAGGAAACATGAATTTGAATTTCAAAGGTGGACTATTTGTAGTTTTGATACATGTGTTATTACTGCATAAGCCAAGAACTTGTAAAATATTATTTCTTACACAAGAAGGAAGTTTATAATATAATTTAAACAAATAAAAGAATAAAACAACTTCTTTGTACCAGGGCAAAGCCAAAATGAACTCAATATAATTCTTGAAATTACCTTCAGTGTATATCACATAGCTTTGGGAGAATGACCTTTATACTTTATTTTCTAAAAGCATACAAGCTGAATCAAAAAAAAAATCTTACCTCTAATGAGTTCACCTTTGGAGATAATGTACAGGTCAATACACAGTCACCTATGTTCTGTGGATTTTGTTTCAGAAAGCTGTACATTGACTGAGCAGATTCAGGACTATCTAACTGAAGAATTGCCTTTGGAGAAGATAAAAAAAGGTAAGAATAGTTCCTAAAAACATTAAAACAAGAATTACCATATCATCCAGCAATTCCACCGTTTGGTATATACCCAAAAGAATTGAAAGCAGGGGCTTGAACAAATATTTGTATATTGATGTTCATTATTCACAACTAGAGGCCTGGTGCATGAAATTCATGCATGGGTAGGGTCCCTAGGCCTGGTGGACGATCAGAACTGTCCTTCCCTGGCTGCCGACTGCCAGCCGGGGCCTTCCTTTGCTCCGCGTGGCCCCTGGTGGTTAGTGCACGTCATAGCGAGTGAGCGAACTCTTGGTCTCCCTGTCGAACTCCCAAGGAGACACTTTGCATATTAGCCTTTTGTATATATAGATAGCCAAAAGGTGACAGCAACCCAAGTATTTATCCTAAGTGTGGTATATACTAACAATGAAATATTATTCAGCCTTAAAAAGAAAATTCTGATATATGCTATCACACATGTTGGGAGACATTATGCTAAGTGAAATAAGCCAGTTACATAAGGACAAATAAGGTATGATACCACTTATATGAGGTACCTAGAGTAGTCAAATTCATAGATCAGTGGTTCTCAACCTTCCTAATGCCGTGACCCTTTAATACAGTTCCTCATATTGTGGTGACCCCCAATTTCATTGTTACAAATTGAACTTAATTAAAGCATAGTGATTAATCAAAAAAACAGTATGTAATTATATATGTGTTTTTCGGTGGTCTTAGGCAACCCCTGTGAAAGGGTCGTTCGACCCCCAAAGGGGTCGCGACCCACAGGTTGAGAACCGCTGTCATAGAGACAGAAAGAAGAATGATAGAATGGTAGCTGCCAGGGGTCAGGAAGAGTGAGAATGTGGATTTACTGTTTAATGGAAAGATGGATAGTGGTGATGATTGCACAATGTGAATATGCTTAATGCCACTGAACTAACATTTAACTATAGTTAGGTAGTAAATTTTATGTTATTTTACAATAAAACATTTTTTAATTTTTAAAAGTATGAATATGTTTTTTTCCAGATTTCAAACATGTGATTTAAAAGGTAAGGTTAATCCTTATTTCAAAGTAAACAAGAGAAAACAATTCTTAAAATGTTGCAAAGTCAAGGCAAAATTGAAAAGGAGTGTGGCTCAGTTGGTTGGAGCATTGTCCCGACACCTATTGGTTCAATTCTGGGTAAGATCGCTGATTGGGGTGTGTGCAGAATTCAAATTATAAAACAAAAAGTTAATTAAGGCAAAGTAGGAGATGAGGAAGAACCAATAGAATTAAAAATGTCTAAAGTAATATTTAGAATTCCTTATGCCATCTGTCATCTCCCTTCCATCCTATATCACTATTTCTAAAGTATCAAATATGTTCTGTGTATCAGTTAGAAGCATGTCAAAGAAATTAATAACTAGTTGCTGATCAATTAGCTACTTTTTATAAAGCAAATATTTCCAACTTTCATATGAAATCCTAATTTTCTAGGTAATATAAGGTTGATCAAAATCTACTTTTAATGGATCTGAATTAAACATTAAACACAGAGGGCATAGCAAATGTAAAGAAGTTAATGTCTTTTAAGGGAAGAAACCAAAGCATAGAAGTAAGGAATGATCATTTTATACTTCTTTCCATATAACTAAACAAAGAGACCCAACTCTCTATGTGTTTTATGGCTGGAAGGGACTTTAGAAAACACCTGGCAACACTGTTTCATTTTACAAATAAGAAGTGTAAACCAACTTAGCCAAGGTATAAAGGTGGTTAAAGCTAGATGAACTCAAGCCTAAAACTTCCCCATAAGTTAATGCTCTTTGCACTACAGTATCTTTCATCTGTTGTGCAAGTTTTATTTCCCCTTAAAACTAGGTTCTAGGAGAGAGAAAGATCATTTCTTCCTTCTTGTCACAGCCCAAAGAAATTACACCCATCTATCTGCTATGAGGCTGAGTAATGCTTATAGGTGCTTCGGATCAGAAGCTGAATTAAAAGTTGCAGACCATAATAATATAGGATTTAGTTTTACATTATTTACCGAACACACAGATAAAAATAGAAGGGACTTTGTTACCTTGTTTTTATTACTCAAGAATATATGGTGATCCACTTTTCCAAACTGAAGTCCAACACATAGTACACACTGAAGTCCATCTTCTGGTAAGTTATTAAGATGTATAAATCGATTGTGTATTTTTTCTATGTTTGCCTGTGGTTTTTTTTTTAAGAGAGAGCATCGGAAAAGAAAAACACAGCTGAAGTATCAAATGTATAACATAGATTAACAGCATTTAATTTTAAAATTAGTGCTAAGGTTTCCTTTAATTTCTAGCAGGTGAACACATAAAGAACCAAGGCTTCTATCAATTAAACAAGTCTAGGAAAGCACTTACCTCTGGATTATTTTCTTTAATCAAGGCTGTAAATATAGCTTCCTAGGAAAGCAAAATGGAACAAGGTTGAAGGTGTACATCATTCTTCATTCATATTTTTAATTAGTCAAGATTTATAATAAAATAGCATTTATGAATAATCATGAAGCACTTTCATAAAATGAATTCAGCAAAAGTTCTGTTATTTCCACATCTTTCCTTCTTCTTAAACAAGTTATGCAAGTCGCACCCTACCCATACACCTAATTTATCCTATTCCCCTAAGTACATTAAAGATTAATAAGGTTGTACCATTTAGGGGAGGACACTCAAATTCACATACAAGGAGTAAGATATTTAATTTAGCAGATAGTAAGAGATTCAAATTATAAAACAAAAAGTTAATTAAGCCAAGTAGGGGAGGAGGAAGAACAAAGATGTAGGCTAGTAAAAAACAACAACACAGGATATTAAGTGTATAGCAATTTGGTGCTGCTAATTATAAAGAGGCCAAGAGTGGCGTGAGACAAGGTCAAAGCTAATGGAAGACTTACATGTACCAGAAGGAAACTTTATGAGACTATGGTTCTTAATACTACTAATATGTATAAAACAATCCTAGTAATTGCACCACATTGAGTGATTCTCAATAGAACGCTTTTTCAAATTAGATGCATTTCTACCTTGCTCTAGTGATTATAACATTTCTGCCTCATGCCTCTTAGCTGTTGATAGTAGGCCACACAGAAACAATGCAAAGTTTCTAAATCAGTTAAATTTGAACAGATTTAAATTTTATATCAGTCTCAGGACCTTGTGGAGAAAGATTTTCACGGAGACAAAAATGAAGGCAGAGCAAAGTCCTGTGTACCACAGGGTTGTGGTTCCATCCCCGTCCAGGCAAATGCAAGAGGCAACCAACCGATCAGTGTTTTTCTCTGACATTGATATTTCTGTGCCCCCCTCTCCCTTCCTCTTTCTAGAATCAATGAAAAACATACTCTTGGGTGAGGGTTAAAAAATTAATAAAGGGCCTCGCCGGTTTGGTTCGTTGGATAGAGAGCGTCAGCCTACGGACTGAAGGTCCTGGTTTGCAGACTTGATTCCCAGGGTGTGTGTGTGGAAGGCAACCAATCAATGTGTCCTTCTCACAATGATGTTTCCCTCTCTCTGTCTCTGTCTCTCCCCCTCCCTTCCACTTTCTAAAAAATCAATGGAAAAATATCCTCTGGTGAGGATTAACAACAACAAAGGAAGGTAAAGGATCCAAAGAACTACTTTACTAGGAGGTTTTAAGAATTAAAACTTTAAGAAGTGAAGCAATGGTGAAAGGAACAAACAGGAAACAAACTCCAGAAATATTTAGAATTTAAGAGACAAGACTTAGTGACAAACTGTTTATAAGAAATGAGAGAAAAAAACTGAAGATAACCTCTGGGTTTGTATGACAAATAATGGCAGAGATAAGGGTCCAAACAGTAGTGCCGACAATACTCTACAAACAATAGTTAACCTTCCCCCAAATCGAACATACAACAGGAATAGGATTCCTTCAAAATGGAAGTAACTCTAAAACAGTGAGAGAGCAGGCAGTGGAGGGACAGAAAGAATCTTTCTCACTGTCTGAGAGAAAATATGAACCAAAGAAGAAAACTAAAAAATATAATAGACTACAATAAATTTAATAAAAATGTAATTAAAATGATAGTGTTATTTACCTCATCTTTTACACTCATGTTTTCAGGAGCCATACTTATTGAGAGTTGATTTCCATCCACTGATATTGGGAAGCAGGTATAAAATTTTATCATAGAATCTGCAGATTTTCTATTTATTTCTATAATAGCCTTTTAAAACAAATTACAAGAATGGAAAAGTCTTATTTAAGTTAGTTTTTCTTGAAAATATTTAATACTTAAGGAATCAAATAAATTGAAAAACTTAGTAACTTTTTGGAAGATAAAAAAAATGCATTCCTCAAAAACATGAGAACAATAAATTCAGTATATTACAACCATAAGCAATATATAATGAATACTGAACTCATAAGAAAACACTAAAGAAAAAAACAGATGATATTCTAGTAAATGACATTAAGAAAAGTCTTATTTATCACTTATTTTAAAAATTCCTTAGCTTAAAACAGCTTAATTATTTTGAGGTACTATTTTTAAACCTTTTCTTTGTGAACTTAATGGAAAAATGCTTGCAGAGAAGAACAGGTATCTGTTATCAACACTTACCTTTTTATGAGATGATAAAATCAAAATATCCTTTGTATCACCAAATGGTTTTACTAGGTTGTTAACTTCTTCTATAGAATATCCTTTATTTGGCAAATTAGAAATAAGTACCACACACATTTCCTCTGTTTCCTTCAAAACAAATTTAACAACTGACATTAAAAATTTTTAGCTACTTTTATATTTACCTAAGCTTATACTGCAGATAATGTTATGTTAGTATTTAAATTGCATTTAGTATTAAAATTGGCCAATTCTGAAAGTTGGTCTGAACTTCAAATTAAAAATCAAATTTCCTATCTTCAAGTACATACAATAATTTCAGCCATACCACCTGTTATGTAGTCAAGATCTTTGATTCTTTTTCTCAACTGTTTAAAAACACGAGTTTGTCTCTGACTACAATTCTTTTCTTTTAGTTACATATCCTTTTATCTTACAATTTAAAAAAGCTTACCTGGTCTTTTAGCATCCTTACCCCATAACTCAATCTCCACTACAAAGTAAATACTTTCTTTTCTGCATTCTTTCTAGCAGATCTATTTTATTCTTCAAGATGACTCATCAATGCCAATATTTCCTTTAGTAAATGTTGGGGAAATCCCCAAAGGTTTACAATAGTAAATTTACCAACTTTTGACTTTTCTTTTGAGGAAAATGTGGGAAGTTATAATTTTCATAAATGAGTTGAGAATGACTTTAACTAGTATGTCAACTGTGTTCGTAAATGGTTCCTTCTAAAGTGCTTTTAGTGAATTTAAAATACTCTATCAGTGCTTTAAAATATTCTTCCTAAAACAAAATAGCAAGTCATACTACTTCCTACTTGGAAAATGGATCTACCAGTCAAAAGTAAACTTATGCTTAGCACCTGAATGATCTTAAAATCTTAACCAATAAAATCTAAGTTAATGAGATTTTAATATGTTTATAATACCAGATGTAACTACAGGAAAACAATAATGAGAACTTTATGCACTTCAAATAAAACTGCAAACCCCACTTGCTCTTCTAAAAACATAATGAACAACTGGTATTCTAAATATTAACACATCACCCTGGCTGGAGTGCTTAGAGCATTGGCCTGAGCATTGAAGGGTCTCAGGTTCCATTCCTGGTCAAGGCAGTAACTGGATTGCAGGTTCGTCCTTGTCCAGTCCGCCCAATCAGGGCTCATGTGGGAGGCAACCATTCGCGCGTATAGATGTCCCCCTCCCCCCGCGACTCCCACCCACTTCTGTCTCTCTAAAAAGCAATGGAAAAATATCTTTGGGTGAGGATTAACAAAAAATAATAAAATAAATATTTTATCTATCCTTTGCCTCTAAAATAAATGAAAAAAAGGATTTCATAAAATTACACCGTTCTATTTTGACAACTTGTTTACTTAAAACACCATTTTGGCCTAATGTTTTCTTCTCAGTGAAAAGTAATCCTCATAAACTTGTACACTTATTGATATGCTGTTCCTAAATTTTTAGGACTCACTCTGCTGCTCAAGCTTTTGAACTCAAACCGTATTTTAAAAGTTTTTCTTTTTATTTTTATAAATTGGGGTTTTTTCACCATGTCAAATCATGCACATTTTTTTGTTTTTGTTAATCCTTGCCCAAGGATATTTTTCCATTCATTTTTAGAGAGAGTAGAAGGGAGAGGGAGGCACAGAAACACTGATGTGAAAAAGAGACATTGATTGGTTGTCTCCCACATGCACCCTGACCAGGGCCAGGATTGAGCCTGCAACCGAGTTAAGTGCCCTTGACTGGAATCAAACCCCTAACCTTTTAGTCCAAGGGCCAGCGTTCTATCCACTGAGCCAAACTGGCTGGGGCTCTTGTACATTTTTATGTGGGTTTATAGTAAAAGGAAATAAACTGTCAAAATTTCCTAAACTTTAAAAAAGGTGAAATATGAAAAAGTAAAATATAAAAACTGACCTTGTTATTAACTGTTTCATTTTCTGTGACCACCAAAGCAGCTTCTTAAAATACAAAATAAAGTAAGAATTCATGCAGATATATTTCATTTATAAAGATCCTAAACCGTACTAAATAGTAACTACATGAAAATGTATAAAACTGACAAAAGAGTAAAGAATTTAAGGAAGTAGCTACATAAGTAACAATGGGTTTTAAATAATACATTTAGTTTTATCCTAAAAACAAAATTTCAGAACAAGAGACAGGGTGCAGAGCTGAATCATTATAGTCTGAATTTCATTTAGGTTATGACCGTGGTTTTTAAAAGTATACATACATACGTACATACATACATACAAACACAACACATAAAATTAAATACTTTATTTTCTTAAAATTAAATTTTCTATCTATAATGTAAGAGAACAAAATAAAATTTCTATTGACCTACCTGAAGTAGTTTCTTTAGCACTATTTTCAGTGGCTTTGAGTTCCATACTGGTCTTTATTTCAGAGTTTTCTGCATGAAATAGTCTACTTTAATAGACTAGAAAACACACTAATATAATTAAACTAATGAATCTAAACAAGAACTTAAGCTAGTTTTATTTTGTCACTTCAACCCTCTTTAGGATGACCTGATTTAAGTCAAAGCTAACACAAGTTTCTCTTTGAAAACAAAACAATCCCTTTCAAGATTTTTACGCAATAACTTCAAAATATACCTTGAATGTACACCAAGAGGATCTAAAGAAAAACATGAAATGACAGCATTTCAAGATTACCTTGTACAGTCAGAGGTTTATTGGCATCTTTGTTTTTGACAATGCCAGCCTTTCTGACTTCTAGAGACTTCTTCCCACTGGACTTTGCTGTCAAAAGCAAAATTGAACCATTATCCTAAGGTCTGTTTGGTCATTTAGTATGTTTCACATTAATATATTAGTAAGTAAGTAGTTCAACTTAATTATAAAAGCAGTTATTTTCTACATATTTACTTCCATTTATTTTATTTTTTATCTTATTTATTGTTTAAAGTATTACATATGTCTCCTTTCCATTTATTTTCAATACCTGTTTACCAATAAGATTTAAAGCAAATGTAAACTGAGATACAATTTTTGTTGATGGCCATTAATGAGCCACAAATTTGACCTGCAGATGACAGAAGCACATTATAATCACACTCACACAAATCGTATTTTATAATTTCTACAAAGGTTCTTTACATTGGTCTATTTGGAAAAATAGTAATACTAAATAGAGCATGTTAGTTTAAACATTACGTTTATTTAAAACTAGAGGCCCAATGCACAAAATTAGTGCGGGTGGGGTGGGGTGGGGTGGGGGGGTGTTGTCCCTCAGGCCACGAGCCTGGCTTCCGTCGCACTGACCACCAGGGGACAGCTCCTGTATTGAGCATCTCCCCCCTGGTGGTCAGTGCACGTCATAGCAACCAGTCATTCCTTCGTTCGGTCTATTTGCACATTAGCCTTTTATTATGTAGGATAGTTTTCCATTTCTTTATAAAGGAAATGTATTCTTGCAACATGGGAAAAAAAATCTTCACAGTAATAAACATTAGAACTGCACAAGCTAGGGAAGATAATATGAAGTGATAGCTTTAAAAAAAACAAACAAAAAACAAAGATTAAACAATTTGTAGGGGAGAAGTGGCAGAACAGCCTGCAGTTATGCAGGGCAAGGCAAAAATAGGGTTATAGGTGTCCATATGGAAAATAAAACAATACTTAATAAATAATACAAACACGACACATGGAATTTTTGACCTTGCATAGCTGTCAAAAATGTTTCAATACAAAATATGTCAATGGTAGAAAAAGTCAAAGACCAAAGTACCAAAAATTTAAAGTCCTATATGTTTTAGGTTTTAAATATCAAAGCAGTATCTACTAAACTTTTCAAGATGTTATTTGGTACTAAAAGCTATATAAATGTAAAACTTGTGTATTTAATTTTATTGTTGACAGTATTGCGGATGTCCCCCCTGTAACTGTCCCCCTCCCAGCTTCTTTCCCACCCCAGGCCTTCACCACACTATTGTCTGTGTCCTTTGATATCATTGTATTATATTCTTAAGGCAGATTAAGAATATACTTAAAATGGAGCCAGAAAGAGACTTTGCTTGGGGTCATGGGTACACCAAGCAACTATTATATGAACATTCTGACTCTGCCACTAACAATGATATTTGCCAGTTCAACACTGCTTCCTTACCGTTCTACCATTATAGGGAAGATGCAGTGTATCGATGATGTTTTATTGAGTTGTATACACTTGAAACACAACCAATGTCACCCCAATAAATTCAATAAAATGAATAAATAAAATATAGTTTGAAGCAGGGAATATAGTCAATAATATTTTAATTACTATATATGGTTTAGGTGGGTACTAGACTTAGTGGGGGAATCACTCTGCAAGTTATATAAATGTCTAACGACTATGCTGTAAACTTGAAACTAATACAACATTGAATGTCAACTGCAAAAACAAACATACTTAATAACACCTCTCCCTCCCAACAGTCTTACCTGTTTTGGTTGAAGTTTTATTAGCTTTAGCAGCTACTGTTATCACAGATTTTACAGAACCCGCTGATTTCCCTAAATCACAAAAAGCTGTAGTCAAAACTGGTTTATTTTTAACCAATATCAACAGTCCCCCCAAAACCTCACAAAGAACGAATATAAGAGCAACAGGCTATACTTTACCCAAAACAAAATGCTATCACCTTTTGGCACACAGCCTTATTCATTCATTCATTCATTCATTCATTCTCACCTTTTTATTCATATTTTTTTAGAGGGGGAGGAAAAGGAGGGGGTGAAACAATGATGTGAAAGAAACCATTGATCAGCTGCCTCCCTCAGGCACTCCCACCATGGATTGAACCTGCAATCTAGGTATGTGCCCTGACCAAGAATCGAACCAGCACCTTTTGGAGTACAATTCTCCAACCAACTGAGCTATCAGGCCAGGGCAACACAGGCCATTTTTTAAAAATCTAACAATGATAATAATAGCAAGTCATTCAGGCAAGTTAAATAAATCTCTGAATTTGTGGATCAACTTGAAGCAAAATTACTAATTACAAGGATATAAAAATAGCCTCATGTAGCATTTATTTATCTATCTATCTACCTATCTATTGGTAATCCTCACTTGAAGATATTTTTCAATTGATTTTTTTGTACTTAACATTGCTCTGACCTTTCTGTTTACATTTCCATCTATTGCTGCTGCTTATTTTCCAAGATGATGTTGTTTATAAAGACTATGATTATCAAAGTGTCACTAAAAAGATCACCACAGAGCCAAAACCCTTTCCATTCAGGAAACAGGAGATTTAGCTCTGAAAATTAGGATTCATAACAACTAGCAAGGTAGTATGAGGGAAAAACCTAGATCAGAAGTAAGTAGCTCCAAGTTGAATTCCAAGTTAAGTTGTGAAGACTTGGGGCATTAATAGGTTTCTGTGCACATTTCCCCATTTATAAATAAGGATGGTAACTGCCATAATTATCTAACAGAGCCGTGTAAGAATATGATAATGCTTAGAAAAGTTATATAAAGGAAAAGAATTACTGACACCCACAACAACCAACTGAAAACAGTTTACAAATTTACCCTTATATCCAAAGACAGACCTAATCTTTGCTCAAAAAAGAACAATACTAATCCTTATGAATTGTCACTTGTCATTAAAAAGTACTGACACACTGTAGTAACCTGAGTACTAATGAGCCCTTAAATTATTTTTCACCTATCTCTGTTATTACCACAAGTCAATTCACTTTACTACTTCTAAAGGGGACCAGAATGTAAGGAAAATATCTAAAATTAATTTCCAATAGTTGAAAGAGGCTTTAGCATCCACTCACCTAAATCCCCACCAGTGACTCAGATATACTTACTATCAAAGCAATATCAAGCTGTTTGCTAAATAAACGCATCTTTAAAACATTTTTCTAGCCATCCCTGGCATCCTCAGGTTACTGCTTCTAAGCAACTATTATATGAACATTCTGGCTCTGCCACTAACAATGATATTTGCCAATTCAACACTGCTTCCTTTCCTTTCTACCACTGTAGGGAAGATTTTAATATATTGACCTCTATCCACTTAATTAACTGGCATTTAGCAGAAATGAGAGGGAAAATAGAATGGAAACTAATGCTAGGGGAAAGGAAAATTAAAAATTACTTTATAACCCATGATAGCCCACAAAAACAGCAAAGAGAATATAATTTGCAGTAAATTTATCTGGATTATTTTTTATAAAATAGAGAGAAGACCTAAATAAAAGAAAAAGAGGGAACTACCTCTGATATCCATTATGAGAAATAGTTTCCCAATCAAATGATCATATTTTTATAATTACTGCAAGGGAAGAGCATTATCTAATAAATCTTATTCCTAAAAATTTCTAGATGACTATAAATTTCCAAGATTAGTATAGGCTCAGCACCTACTATTTCACATGAAATCCAACACTACTGCTACATAATTCTTAAAGTTTACTAATATGTCTAGAATTCTAATAAAAAAACATACCTGAAGATTTATTCACTTTGCCTACAGATGCTTTAGCTTGTCCAGTTTTGGCTAAAATAACAAACAAATATATCAATAATATATTACAAATAATATCATTTAGATTTAGGAAAAACATAACCTGGCAATGATTTAAAAAAAAACACTGCAAGAAATATCCTTATACTCATCTTTGTATATACATGGAACAGCAACTACAGGTAAATTCTTAGACACAGACTTGCTGACACAAAGATGATTTAAATTTTAACTATATTAAATTGTCCTCCAAAAAGATTATACCAATTAATATCCCCATTAATAGAATATAAGAGTGGGGCTTCCCCATTTCTATACACAGCATGTAAAAAAAGTTATTAATCACTCCAATCTGAGATAGAAACTGGTATAATTTCTGTTGTCTTAATTATGAGTAAAGTGTCAATTTTCATATGTGTAATTCATCTCTATGATTTGCCTATATATTTGTCAATCTAGTTTAAAGATTTGTTGAGGTTTTTCTTATTGTTTACTAGAGCTTTTTATATGTTAGGAAGGTTAGTTTATATCACAGAGATAACAACATTTTTTAAAATTATACAAAATACTTATTAAAAAATGCTTTTCATGTGGTCAAATGTCTTCCTGATAGAGGAAGGATGTTCTTTACTCTGTATAAATTTTTGACCCATTTGTAATTTATTTTGACATTGTAAATTCTTTACTTATACAAAGTAGATAGTTAATTTAATGAATAACTGATCATTTTCCCACTAATTTGAAACATCATAATGATTTATTGATATTCCATATTTGGGGGAATATTTCTTCTGTCCTACTGATCTATTTATTTATCCAACTATATGAAACTATTTTGAATCTTTAACTGTATATTATATCTGTTAGTGCTAGTCCATCCTACTCTTCCTTTGCAGAACTTTCCTGACTATTCTAAATTAATTTTTTATGTATAAAAAAAACCAATAATAAGCTTACATGTTTTTTAAAAAAATCTTATTGGTATTTTACTAGTTTCATAATATTTATGTTTCAATATATGAAAAAAAGGAAGATTCTAATGGTGAGGATTTCTACCCCAAAATTAGCCATTTTCTCATTTTATTTTATGCCTCTTAGTAGTATCTTAAAGTTTTCTTTTCATAGTTTTTACCTTTTTTATTATTGTAAATGGAATATTTTATTAAATTACATGTAAATTGTTATTTTTATATAATAAAGCAATTCAAGCCTTTTAGAGAATTAAGATGGCTAATTATATAGGGTGTCCCAAAATTCACGCAATAAGTAATTTTGATAGAAAACACAGGTTTATAGTTAAAAATTGTAAATTTTTTTATTGATTTATAAAGTATACAGTATAGGGTTATGTATGGAATAGCACATCGGGTAAATGGCCTCAATGGCTTTACTGGCACATATGCAAAGCCGTGGTCTTCATTGTTCGTGCTCCTGGGCCATAATTGGTACTTGGTAATGCTTATCAAATTTGAAGGGATTGAAATCAAAGGGCGACAGATATTAGAATCTGATTCAATAAACCAAGTAAAATTAGGCTTTTTTTGTTGTTGTTGTTGTTAATTCAAATCTTGCGTGAATTTTGGGACACCCTTTACTTAACAGCATTTCAATATTCTTTTGGATTTTCCATACATACTTGAGTTTTCCATCATCCTTCCTATATAATAAAAGCCTACTATGCAAATTGTCCCCTCAAATGGGAGTTCGGCCAGGGGGTGGGGCCAGCTGGCCGAACTCCTGCGTCCCCGCCGCCCCTGCCCCTGGTTGGGGAGAAAGGGGGAAGCTGGACCCCACCTGTGCACGAATTTGTGCACCAGGCCTTTAGTACATACACATTTGCAATTAATAATGTATCCTACTTTTCAATCTTTATGCCTCTTGACTTACAATGCACTGGCTAGTAGCTATTATATTTTAGAATAAAATTTATATAATTCATATAAGTGATGAGTATTCCTTGTTTCGTTGCCAATCTCAATGGAAACACTTCTATTGTTTCATTATTAAGCATATGCTGGCTTCTGACTTAATATGTGTGTATATGTTTCTATGTATACGAATAAAAGTGTGAATACACACACACACAATCGTAGCTATCTACTTTAAGAACTTTTTTCAATGCTAGGAATGAATGAATGTTAAACTTTACTAAGTATTTTTTGTAGCATTTATCTTTCTCTAATATGGTAAAATGAATTAACAGATTGCCTAATTTTGAATTATCTTTGTATTTCTGATATGAGCCCCTCTTGGACACAGTATAGTATTTCTTTAATGTGCTCCCAGACGCTATGTGCTAGTATTTTACTTAAAAGTGTTGTATCAATATATTCATAAGTGAAGTTGTTCTACATGGAATTTTAAAAAATACTGGGAGAGATCCCATATAACCTTCACCCAGTTTCACCTAACAGTAATAATTTGTATAACTATAGTATAATGTCACAAACAAGAAACTGATATCAATACAATCTACCATTATTCAAATTTCCCGTTTTACATGCACTAATGTATATTTAGTTTTATGAAATTTTATCATATGCGTGATTACTGTGACCAGTAGTCAATATAAAGAACAGTTTCATCACAAGGATCTTTCCTACTACTCATTTTAGCAACAGCCACCTCCTTCCCTCCCCTCAAACCCTTGACAACCACTCATCTGTTGTTCTCTATTAATTTTATCATTTCAAGAATGTTATAGAAAGATTACAATATTAATGGGTCAAATTTTAAAATACCCAACATGAATCTTCAAGGCATTCTATTATCCAACTATATGAATAATATAGGATTCATAACAACTAGAAAGGTAGTATGAATCCTCAATTCTGTTCCTAACTGAAGTATCTTCTGACTCTGTATGTCATCTTTTTTCACATTCACATTTAAAACTGTAGTCAAAATTTACTGCCCTCCAGAAGCCATTCAGTCACCTTTACTAACTTCCAATTACTTCAGTATACTATCCAACTAAACATGATGGACAAATGAGATATTCTATACAACCCAATTTTTTAGTCACCTGAATATCAGTTTTCCAAAAACTAGTTAATCTATTCTGAATAGAAATCCAGAACACTCTATACACCTGCCTTTCCAAGAGAGCAATTTAATATTCTGAATATATTTTATGTCTACTTCATTTTAGCTTCTGTATCTTATCCTTCACTACCAAGCTGTTTATTCTTCCTAGACTCAAGTGTATATTTGAGCAATAACTTCTTTATCTCCACCTTTTCAATCCTAAATGGAATAAGAAAAAAATATAATCCAGTTAAGATTGTATGAACAATTCATTTAGCTAGATTCATAAAAAAAGGCCTGAAGTGCTCACCTATGTGTAAAGAAACAACTTTTACCATGTGAATAAAATATTTCCATTTTGTCTTTTTTGTTTTACTTTCAAAAACAAAGTGGGATAAACAAGCAATCTTAACATACTTTGTTTTGTCTTGTGGGTTTATTGGGAGGGGATACAGAGAGGTATTGCAAAACTAATGCAAACAGCTACTCACTATAGAACTGTGATAGGTACTTCAGAAGAGGTCCCTTAACTACACAGTAAATAGCCTAATACAGGAGCCAATTTGGGTCCCCACTACTAAAGCACAATAAATAATGTTTTCCTAGCATCATCTTGCAAGAAGTTTCTAGTAAAATGACAAAATATACTCATTTGGAGAAGGAGTATTAAAAGTAACAACTTACTAGCAGAAGCTGACTTCACAATTTCAACAGCTTTGGAAGCATCTGTATCTTTTCTATTTAAAAGAAGAAAAATTTAGCAAATTCTAAGTTCTAAAACTTCTAAAGATGTAATTTAAATCTAAAAAAAGTTTAAAATAATTCTATTTGAACACTGTCCCATTTAAACTAGAGCCAAAATGGTAAAACATTAAAAATGCACTTGTAAAACTGAAAATTTTCAATTCATATGCACATTCATTCTCACATGAAATTATAGAAATTACTTACTTTAAAGCAGATGTTTTCTTTGAATCTGTCTTTTCCTTCACCTCTTTGTTCTATGGAGGAAAAATATTTTGAAGAAAAAAAATTTAATTTCTTTCTCAGTTCTAAAAAGCTTTAGACCAGTGATGGCGAACCTATGACACGTGTGTCAGAGGTGACACGCAAACTCATTTTTTTGGTTGACTTTTCTTTGTTAAATGGCATTTAAATATATAAAATAAATATCAAAAATATAAATCTTTGTTTTACTATGGTTGCAAATATCAAAAAATTTCTGTATGTGACATGGCACCAGAGTTAAGTTAGGGTTTTTCAAAATGCTGACACACTGAGCTCAAAAGGTTCGCCATTACTGCTTTAGACAATACAGAAAAGCATAAGACAATTTTAAAAAGCATTAAAAAAATCTTCCTACCCTAAAGTGTAAATGCATATTATCTTTCTCTAATTACAGATAGAATAAAAAGACTCTCTTCAACCTGTCATCACATATGACATAATTTTACATCCTACCTTTTACCACTCATCTATATCTCCTTATCACTATCTTTTAAAACATTTCAAGTAGCACTATATTTCAGATATCTAACTATCATGCTGATCCAATCCATCTTTTGCTTTGACTACAATAACCTTTTAACAGTCTCTCTGCTTCTGTCCTTGCCGTTTTACCCACCCCCCAAATCTATTCTAAGTATATATCTTGCCATTCAAGACCTTTCATCACATCAGAAGAAAAGCCAATACTTAGAACAGCCTGTAAGTTTACACACACGTTCCACACACTCCCAAGCCCAAAATCACCACAAAGCTCTTCATATACATCTCTACTTCCAACCCCAAGCATCCTTTATCCTTCTCAAACAAGCTGCATATGTGTGGATCTCAAAAGCCATTTGAAGTTGCTGTTCTATCTGGAATGCTCTTAACCCAGAGACTGGCTTGCTCCCTCAACTCCTTCAGGTGTTTGCTCTACCATAACTACCTTATTGAAAGTTGCACGGTACCTCATTCCCCAACAAGAGCACTTCTATCCCCCTTTTTTGTTTTCTCCACAGTGTTTGCTGCTAACAGACATAATATGTATACATTCTTAGTTTCCTTGTAGTCTTTCTCTCCCTACCCCTTGAAGTTAAACTTGGTGACAAGAGACTTTGTTTTATTATTACTCTCCCCAATGCCTAAAATTGTGCTTGGCAATTAGTGAACATGCAGTAAATATATGTTAAATTGATCTGAACTTCATTTCTTTTGCATTATATGGGATTTTATGCCAATTACCTCCCTAAACCCAATGAGTTACATGATATTCATCCTATTTTTTTATTCTACTAGTGGTTATTTTCCATTTTTAAAGACATTTTAAACTATAGATTTCTTCTGTATAAATTAAAAATTTCAGTCCCTAACCTTTAGCTACATACCAATTTAAAAAAAATATATTTTATTGATTATTTTACAGAGAGGAAGGGAGAGGAATAGAGTTAGAAACATCAATGAGAGAGAGACATCGATCAGCTGCCCCCCACTGGGTATGTGCCCACAACCAAGGTACATGCCCTTGACCAGAATCGAACCTGGGACCCTTCAGTCCTCAAGCCGACGCTCTATCCACTGAGACAAACTGGTCAGGGCCATACCAATTTTTGATGATATATTTTAGATTAACAATTTTTGTAATATTAAGTAACATTTTTGCAATTGTTATTTTATAAATGTTTAGATTTATTTTATTGTTTAAATGGTTTCAATGCTCATTACCAATCATTTTATATCATAGTTTCTCTATTTCTTAATGTTCTGCATTTTTATAACAATATTTTAGGAAAGATGTATAGATGATATACTTTATGAGCCCATGCATGTCTGAAAATACTGTCCTAGCACACAACTTAGTATTTGACTTGATATAGATGTATTAAACTACAATGAATCAACTTCTTCCCATTCAACCTTGAAAATGTGGTGCTCTGCTACCTAAGGCTAGACTCTTCCTTTTTATAATTATACCATTTCTGGCTAAACCAATATAGGATACCTTTCTTAAGTATGAAATGTAAAATTTTCACCAGTATTTAAGTGGTGTCCTCTTCCCATAATTCCAGTTAAATGTCGTTTGGATCTTTTATTCACCATGTCTTTCCTTTTCATCATGTTAGGAGGAGCTTTAACCTTCTAAATAGACTAACCTCCAAGAACGTTGAAAGCACATCTGTTTTGTTCACCACTGCAGTACCTACAGATACCACAATGCCTGACACTTAACAGACGTTTAAAAATAGTTCTGGACTCAAATGAAATTGAATTCTCATCTGAATTAATTGTATCTTTTTGGTTATGCCCTGTTACTCATTATATTTCCCATAATGCTCCCCAGCATTGTTTTTCATTTCCATGAAATCTTGGACCTTAGTTAACTGTCCCCATGAATGTTGCTGAAAACATTAAATTTTAAGTCTTGAGTTTAGTTCTGTTTGTTTTTGCAGAGGGTTGAGCTGCAGCACTACTTGATAGTTGTGAAGGTTTGTTTGTTGGGAAATCTGATCATACTTTTGTCTAGATCAGTGGTTCTCAACCTTCCTAATGCCGCGACCCTTTAATACAGTTCCTCATCTTGTGGTGACCCCCAATTTCATTGTTACAAATTGAACGTAATTAAAGCATAGTGATTAATCACAAAACAATATGTAATTATATATGTGTTTTCCAATGGTCTTAGGCGACCCCTGTGAAAGAGTCGTTCGACCCCCAAAGGGGTCGCAAACCACAGGTTGAGAACCACTGGTCTAGATCAAGGGCTCCTGCTTCTTTAAGGAAAATTTTGTCCATTTCTCTGGGAAAAAAGAATGCTTGCTTTCATCATATGAGTGCTAGTGGTACTGCAGAGAGTAACTAGAAAAAATAAAAAAGGGTAAGAATCACTGTTAAAGACTGATGTCTAGGCTGGCTTATCATTAAAGAACAAGGTAACTCAGTTTCTGTTAGACTGTGTCAACCCATAAGTTTAAATACAGGGATGTAGGCCCTAGTCGGTTTGGCTCAGTTGACAGAGGGCTGGCCTGGGGACTGAAGGGTCCCGGGTTCTATTCCGGCCAAGGGGACATGCCTGAGTTGCAGGCTCGATCCCCAGTAAGCAGCCAATCAATGATTCTTTCTCCTCATTGATGTTTCTATCTCTCTCCCCCTCTGAAATCAATAAAAATACATTTTTTAAAAAATAAAAATACAGGGATATAGGACATTTTTTACCTTTTCTGTAACATTTCTTTATTGATTCCAAGAAGCAGCAAAATGGAGACCACGTTCTGTGAATCACTGCCAGAGTCAAAGGCAGTCCCAACAAGAAACATCAAATGCAGGCAGAAAAGTTTTTTCTTGGTTTTGACTATTCATGTGAAAATTATGATCTGGACCAAGAAAGCTATAGCACTGCTCCTCCAGTTAATCCCTAAGCCATCTGATGCTCTATCACAACAAGGAATCTTGAGTTAGCCTTCTAAGGCTCCTTTAACTGAACACCATCCAAATCATATTTAGCTGAAGAACATCAATGTTTCTGAAAGGCAGATGGCATGTTTTCTAGTTTCCAAAGCTTATACTTTCCATTATGCATTTCTTTGAAAACCAGAATAGTACTAGCAAACATGGTTGGTTTCTTGGACTTATATTGCTTCCTTACCAATCTCATCAAAAAGTCGTCCTAGAGAATTATTTTACTCTATTTGAAATACTCTTAAGACTTTAAATGTAGCCTAACTCATCTATATTCCCAGATTGAACATTTCAGAATTAAAAAAAAAATTGACCTTTCTTCCTACTTCTCCAGATTTTAATGATCAACTAGGTACTGCTCATGAGTCACTGGTATAATCTGTTTCTCCTTTCTATTCTCAAGGTCTACCTAAAACTGTTCTATTATCACAATAGATTGATGACTACATTAGTTACCTGGACTTGGGTGATTTTTCTCTTCTCCCCTTCCATCAATTTGCTAAGCTTTCTTTGCATTGAGAGTTAATTGCCCCTCTAATTCATTCTTCCAGATGAATCTTTCTAATCCATCTCATTATACCTCTACTCAAATAATGTTTAATGGTCTACAGGATAAAGTTTAAGGTCTTAAATTATGCATTTAATTCTTGCTTCCCCTTAACCTTCTCTGTAACCAGAGGTGACTATGTGTTATAGTTCTGGTAATCAAATGTGGGTAAAAGTTGCTCATCGTTCCCAGAAGGGAAAAAAAATTCAAAACCCATTTTGCTCTTCATTTTTATTCCTTTCTTCTGCTTAGAAGAAAGAAATTATGCTAGAAGGTACAGCAACCACATTACAACTGAAAAAAAGCACATGCTAAAGATGGTGGAGCAGATAAATAAAAAGGCTGGGTTCCTAAAGACAGGGAACTCCTATACTGGACAGGGACCACCTACCTGCAGATTTCCTGCTATGGGTAAAAAACCTCTTATTTAATAAACCTGGTCGAAAATAAAAGAAATTTTAAATAACAGAGTTGGTAATGACTAGGGTTACCATATAATTTATTATTCGAATCAGGACAATGGGAATAAATGGATGGCATGTAGCAGGTATAAACTAGGTCAGTGATGGCGAATCTTTTGAGCTCAGCGTGTCAGCATTTTGAAAAATCCTAACTTAACTCTGGTGCCATGTCACATAGAGAAATTTTTTGATATTTGCAACCACAGTAAAACAAAGATGTATATTTTTGATATTTATTTTATATATTTAAGTGCCATTTAACAAAGAAAAATCAACCAAAAAAATGAGTTCGCGTTTCACCTCTGACACGTGTGTCATAGGTTCGCCATCACTGAACTAGGATGAGGGCTACTCTAATAGAAAACGAGAAATAAAAATCCTTTCTCTAGCCCAGCTGGTGTGGCTCAGTGGTTGAGCATTGACACAGGGTTGCCCTGTTCAATTCCCAGTAAGGGCACATGTTTCTCTCTCTTATCCCTCTCCCTTCCTCTCTCTCTAAAAAAAATCAATAAAAAATAATATTAAAAAAGTAAATCGAAGTTCCTTTAAAAAAAATCTTTTCTCTACAAGTAAATAAAAGAAATAAACTTAACATCCCCTCGAAAAAGTACAAGAATTTTATGGGGGGGGGGAACAGAAAACTTGCAGAAGAGATAAGCCATGTTTTTTAACAGAAATCATTATTATAAAAACATCAATACAATTTCAATAAGTATTGATTAACCTCCCAATAAAATTTTTCAAAGAACTTAAACTGATTCTAAAATTAATATACAGGAGTGAATGTTCAAGATTAAGCAAAATAAATTTAAATAAAGAACAAAGAAAAAGGATTCTACCAGAAAAATAGGCAAATATTATAAATTTTATAGTTTTAACAAGTGAAATCACACAGCACTGGCACAAAAATAGACTAATGTGACAACAGTCTGAAACACATCTATGTATACAAGGTAATTTACAGACATGAAATTAGCTTTTCAAATAAACAGGGAAAAACAAATTAGGCACATGTTAAAACTGTGGCAGAAAGTCATGCCAGACAACCAAATCAACTACCCATGAGGTGGCTAATCATTCGCTAAAAACTGTTTATGAGCAGTGACTCCTGGATTTAAATATGTAGACATAGTGTAGGTATGTAATATTTACTTATGTCGGAGAAATTACAATGTTTTTTTCAACATGTGGCCTTTTCGATAAAATTTGTTAAAAATAACAGTGCAATAACAACAAAAAATAACCTGTTAATTTAACTCAACTATGGTATAAATCAAGGCAGGGGCTACTTCTGGGCAGAAAGAAGGGTTGTAAAGATTTGCAAGAAGTATGCAAGGGGCTTCCAAGATGTTATCAATATTATGGTTTGTGGCCGAGGCAGAGGTTTCACGAATTATTTCCTAATTTTGTTAAGTATTTCCTCCTCTACTGCACCATTTAATACTGTTTATAAGCTATACAGTCATGCACCACATAACGATCAATAACAAACCACATATATGATGATGGTCCCCAAGAAGAACCCCAAGAAAATTCACAGTGAATGGATTAGCAAAAGCTTTTGCAGATTTCAACAAGTTCCTTAAAAAGTTTGAAAACATGGACCCCTACACTGAAAGGTTTCCATTAACAGAGAGGAATGTTCATGGTACATTATCTGATTACAAGCAAATCTATGATGAAAAAAAGAAAGCAAGCAAACCATCATATTCCTGAAAAAAGAGACACCTCCTCAAGAAGAGCCTCAGGCAGGTCCTTCCAGAGGTATTCCCCAAGAAGCTAAGCGTTATTACAAGAGTCCAAAAGTTCAAAAAAATTCAAAAGGTTATAAAGTAAAAATGTTACAGTAAGGTTAATTTATTATTGAAGAAAAATATTTTATAGTGTAGCCTGCATGTACAGTACGTATAAAGTCTACAGTAATATACAGTAATGTCCTAAGCCTTCACATTCACTCACCACTCAGTTTAATCCTGAGCAACTTCCAGTTCTATAAAAGTGCCCTATACAGATGAACCATTTTTTATCTCTTATACTGAATTTTTACTATACCTTTTTAATATACAGATGTTTAGACACACAAATATTTATCATTGTGTTATAATTGCCTGCAGTATTCAGTACAGTAACATGCTGTACAGGTTTGTAGTCCAGGAGCAATAGGCTATCCCATATAGCCTAGATGCGTAGCAGACTATACCATCTAGGTTTGTGTACTAGTAAGTGCACTGTGATGTTACTAAAATGATGAAATCACCTAGTGATATATTTCTCATAACATACACCAATCTTTCAGCAAAACATAATTATATATGCACATATTAAAAAGTTATTGATTTCAGTGTATTTGAATCTATATGCATACAATGTTATGTAAACATTTGCTTTATGCATTTTTCTGTATGTGCCAAACTTAAGCAAAAACAAAAAAACCTTAAAACTAATACAATAATGAAACTTAAAACAATAAACTTAAACAATAATGAAATGGGTCTAAATCCAGTTTACCTGTGCTTTTTTCCTTCCTGGAACACATACTTTCACATTTTTCCCATTTACCAAAAGAGGTGTTGTTTCAATATACTTCATGACTGCAGTGACTGCCTCCTTAAATTCCATTTTCAGGTAAGCCTAAAAGAAAATATATCATTAGTAAAAAGAATCTAACTTAAAATTATTTGCATGACTTAATACTATTTTGTGGAACATAAAACTATGAAATAACCTCTAGTCTTGATTTTACCTCTTTTTTTCCCTCAAGTGTAGATTGATCTTCAGGATGTCTTCACACATGAAATGGACCTTTAACCTTATATCATTACAAAAATAAGAAGAGGGAAATAGCCTTCCATTTTAGGCCCATAGAACAATGAGAAATGGGAAGACAGGGCTCAATTAAGAATCAATCATAAGGCACAATCTGGTCTAGCTGCTTTAAATCTGACTTTTTAAAAATCCTCACCCGAGGGTATGTTTAGAGAAAGAAAAGGGAGACAGAGGAACATGGACTGATTGCTCTCTCACATGTGCCGACCAGGCATCGAACCCACAATCTAGGTGTGTTCCCTGATGGGGAATTGAACTCACTACCTTTTGGTATACGGGACAATGCTCGAACCAACTGAGCCACCTAGCTAGTTTGATGAACTTTATAATGTGAATTACAGGAATACAACACACATATAAAAAATACTTACTGTAAAACAAAGTCATTTGTTTTAGTATAAGCTTACTGGTATGCTAAAGCAATGGTTAGCAAACCAAGGCCTGCCAACTCTTTTTTGTTTTGAAATCCTCACCCAAGGATATGTTTATTGATTTGAGAGAGAGGGGGAAGGAGGTAGAGAAAGAGAAAAAAGAGACAAAGAGAAAAATTGATGTGAGGATGTGAGAGAAACATTGATTGGTTGCCTCCCATTCGTGCCCCAACTGGGGATCAAACCTACAACTTAGGTATGTACCCTGACTGGAAACTGAACCCACAACCTTATTTTTTTTATGTAGGGGACAATGCTCAAACCAAATGAGATACCTGGCCTGGGCTTGCCACTTGTTTTTATATATATATATATTTTTTAATACAGCCATGCTCATTCATTCATATATTATCTATGACTGTTTTTGTAACTACAATGGCAGAGTTGAGTAGTTGCAATTCTATGGTATGCAAAGTCTAAAATTTTACTGCCTAGCCCTTTATAGATCAAGTGTGCCAACCTGTCCTAAAGGATATTAAACAGTGATCTGGGACCTTGTTAATTTGAAAACATATATTTACATAACTTTCAATTAACAATTTATGTAGGTTATGTTGTAGTAAAAGTAGCTAAAAGATCAAACAACTATTTCTTAAAGCAATAACTTTTCATGTATTTTCACAACAGACTGAATGGCTCACCTCTTTCCTATATGGAACAATTAGGACATCATTAACTTTTCCAAATGGTTGAAATAGTTTTTTAATATCTTCTTCAGTATAGCCATCCTCTGGTAATTCAGATATAAGAAGAACGGAACCGTAATACAAAGGTTGGTCTTTCCGAGACTATTTTGAAAATAAAAGAAAATTAAAAATAAGACAAGTTATGCACAAAGTACAAACTAATAGTTCCCAATATAAATTCTTCTACCAGCTAATCTTAGTTCTTTAAAGTCTTTTCTAAATATTTTAGCACAAGTAAAAATAATTTTTAATGCTAAAAAAAAGATTTCCACTCAAACCCAACAGTGATAATGAGTTTATAGGTAACTAGTCACAGATGCTCTTTTCTGTTTAAAAAAATTTTATAACAAGCAAGATCTATGAAATGGTCCAAAACTATTAAAATTTTTCTATATGAATCTGCATGGTCCATCATTAATGAAGTGAAATTACAGCTTGGTTCACTGTGTTCTAGTAATTGACAATATCTTAATATTGTCTTAATAGCTTTTTAAAAAATTTATCTTTATTGTTACGCTCCCTCCCCCCGCCATTACTCCCTCCACCCCACACCGGCATCCCTCCCCAGACCTTCACCATACTATTGTCTGTGTCCATGGGTTATGCATACATGCATATATGTTCTTTGCTTAATTAATATATTAACATCTTAATAGAGCCCGATTAGGGATTGAACCTTCAAACCAGTTTGTGCATAGCCAGCAATTGAACCCGCCACCTTTTGGGACAATGCTCCAACCAACCGAGCCATGCTGGTCAGGTAAGACTCACTCTATAGCTTACTAACAAAGATAACAAAAATATTAATGCTGCTGATGATTACATTCACTTTCCTAAAAAGATAACAAAATTCATCATGATCTACTTATGTGGCTAGCCAAAAACACCAAATCACCAGAATGTTCTCACCTTTAATAGATCAAGTGCCAACCCTCTAGGATTTGTAAACTATAAGATTTTGAATTATTGGGCTTTTATTATATTCATAAGAAAAACAAATAAAATATTCCATACCAATAGATTTTAACAAGTCATGATTTTAAACTTCTGGAAAATTAGAATAAAAAATTTCAGACAACTCTGTTTTCTGTCATAATAGTACTGTAAATGTATGCACACACTTGCACTAACAAATTAAAGAACTACTGACCTTACGCTGGACAGAAACAGCTTTATCAGACATCTGTTTACATTCTGATAAGGTGGCATCTTCAAGATTCTTTGATTTGTGACGAGTAGAATGTCCTCCTAAATTTGAATCATTCTTTGTAGAACTTATAGATTTAACTGATGACTTTGATCCACTTCCAGTTTTAGCCTTTTGTGCTGGTAACTGTCCTTTATCAACTGCTTCAAAATGCTTCTCTTTATTGGATTCTGGCACATGCCCTGATCGTTGTGCTACATCTTCTAATGCTCTTTTTCTATCTAGTAAAAGGGATATAGTACTACTTTAGTTAAAAAGAATGTAAGGTAGAACCATTTCATCACATTATATATATATTAAAAAAAGACTAATCCCTCAACTGTCCAAATATTTATCACATAGAGCCACTGTCAAGCCAAACAGGGAGCATATAGACACACAAAATTCCTAGTCTTTAATTCTTCACTCAAAAGGCTTTTACATGAACTTCCTTTATTCAGTGAGCTTCTATTACATCAGTGGTCCTCAAACTTTTGTTTTCTGCATTCCTCTATACTCTAAAACATAAGGACTACAAAAAGGTTTTTGTTTGTGTTGTTTATCAATATTTACCATAAAAGAAATTAAAATAAGATTTTTAAAACCTTTATTCATTTAATAATAAACTCCTGTGTTAACATAAATAACAAATTTTTATGAAACACTAGAATTGCCAAAACAAAAATTAGATGAGTACCACTGTTGTACATTTTCCTAAACGCTTTAACGTTGGGCTTAAGAGAAAACCCCTAAATTCTCATATCTGCTTTTGCATGCATTCTGCTGGATACATTATTCTGGTCGAAATATATACAGAAACTACATGTCGCACAGACATGTAGTTAATTGAAAAAGGGGATACTTCACAGATCTCTGAAAAGACTTCCAGGAATATATATATATATTATATACATGAGCTATTTCTATAAAGATCACTAAACCAATAATTATTAACACCAAGTTGAAATAATGAATAATTTCAAAAAGCTTTTAACTTAATTCACAGAAAATAAGTCTATAATCAATTATTATGGCAAGATGTTTGTATATCCTTGGTTTTAAAAATCGATGTTGGGTGGATATATACACTCCTGCATATTTCTTCTAATAGTTAATAAAGGGAAGAAAAATAAACTAGGTTGAGATGTGGGTCAGATTTCATATAGAAATTCTAAAATTTAATAAAAGAAAATATTTCATTTCTTAAAAAGTTTAAAAAGAGCTAAGGCAAATAGCTCAAATGTCAACTTTTGTTAAATCCTAATAGTACGAAAATCACCATTTCAAACTTATTAAAAATACACAAATATAGAAATTCAAACAAATGAAAAGCCTAAAAAAATAGTCAAAATAAGTAAACTTATTCATGATCATAAGTGTACCTGATGATCTCACTGATCTCCTTGATATCCTTTCAGGGCTAACTGATCGATAGCTTTTTGGACTACCTCTAAATGGATTTCTCATTCGATATGGTGAACGGGACCTGGATCTATATCTAGAAATGTAACGATGGCAAATTCTTGGACTTCGACTTCTTGGTCTATACATATAACGTGTTGGGCTTCGAGATCGATGGAATCTGTGACTTGAGCTTGATCTCCTAGAATGTCTAGGACTGAGGGAATGAGAACGTCTTCTTGGAGTTTCATTTTCTTTTCTGTTGCCTTCATTTCTACAAAGTACAAAAGAGACGCACAAATTCAGGAATTTAATGTAAATTTAAGCTATTTAAGTGACAGAAGTATATTCTTAAAAACAGACTACTAATAATACCAAACTCTGATACTATGTACTTATTAAAAACAGAAACTTGTTTGTTATGATATGATTTATCCTTGAGACAAATAAGGAATAATTAGAACAGATGTCCAGCCTTCTAATTGCTTGGATCCCTCTCTTTTGCTAATTTACAGAATATCACCATCAATTTCTTGGGCTTTTCCTGTATCACTATTATATACAAATATGTTTGAAAAGTATTAAGTTATATAAAAAAATTAGAACATTTTACGAAATGAGAAATGCTTTTCAACTTTTTTTCCTAAAAGATTATGCCATCTACAAATACTTCTTTGACTGCTGTATTTGTATATATGCACAACGAATAGGGACACCCTCCCCCCAAGGGAATACAAGGCTTAATAAAACCATTCCCATCCTTCAAGGCAATTTATAATCTAATATTCCACAAGTATAAAGTAATAATAAAAGCATGAAGTATTTTTTTAAAAAGACTGAAAAGCAGAAGAGAACTATAACATTTAAGCTGGGGAAATTGAAACAGGACACAACTCAAAATAATACCTTTTTAAAAAGTACTTGCTTACTTCTAAAAAAAAGAAAATTCTTTCAATAATATCACTGTTAAAAAATAATTACTTTCCATGGTGATTGTGGGGGCGGGGGAGTGGGAGAAGGGTGGAGGTGTAAGAGGGCATAGAGGGGATAAGCGGTGGTGGAAAATAATAAAATAAATTTTAAAATAAGAATTACCTTCTTGATGGGAGGATCTCAGGATTCCAATCAGGATACCTATTTTGAGAATAAACAATATGAATTAACAATCAAAATAAGACTCTAAGGCTCCAGTGATCTTTCTCTGCAATATATCTGTTCAAAACTTATGTTTACATAGTAATTTACTAGTATATTAAAGCACAAAAATTTTCTTGGGAAGAAAATATTTTGAGTGTGTAATTCAGCAATTTTCAACCAGTGTGCTGTAAGCATTTTAAAACATGCAATTCTTGACTATTTAGTCAGGAGCACTGAACCCTTAGATTGTCAAATTTTAAAAAATGACAAAAGCCAATACAACAATAGCTGGCTGGTGTGAATGAATAAAAATTACATTTTTTTTTTGGTCAGACTGGCCAAAAATGATATATTTTTCGGTGTGCTGCAGAATTTTAGTAATTCGTTTATGTGTGCCATGAGATGAAAAGGTTGAAAATTGCTAGTTTAATCCAATCAAGTATTATGCTAGTAGACAATTCAGAGAAAATAAATAGAAACCCATACTTTAAAAAGACTTCAAAATTTTTAAAAGTTGAACAAGGAGTACACATAAAAGAGGTACAGAAGAGGTCAAGATACAAGCTCATGTAGGGGTTAAAAGAGGGAAGACACTTCACATACTTTGTAGAATTACAGGGGACACTATTCTACAGAATATAAATGAATGGCGCCCCTTACATTGCACCAAGTGGTCCTCAGAGAGATAAACTAATCTGGCTGAAAGCATGGAAATGACAAAAAGGAATTATGCAAGAGAAAAACCTGGAAAAGTATCTCAGAGACAAACTGTGAAGGTCCCTGAAATCAGGTAAAGAGGGTGCACATAAGTAAATACATTTCTAAAGTGAAGAGAATATAGGAATGTCTTCAGAATATTCAGAAATAAATATCTGGAGTGGGGGGGTGGGGGTGAGGGTTGAGATACTTAGAAATCAGGCAAGTAGAAGCTATGCTATAGTACTAAGAGTGAGAAACTAACACAGAATGGGAATCTGTAGGAAAAAAGAGGGTTGAGGACAGAATTTTATGCACACAAACATTTAAGAGTACAACAGACAAAGATTAAACTAATGAAAGAGATTAAGGGGTATTCACAGAAAGGAAAAGTAGGAGAACAGTAACATTGTAGAAGCTTAAGAAAGACATTTTTGTCCTTCACTTTTCTAGAGATTGTGGACTCTAAAGATTCATTGGAAATAGTGATTACAATAAACCATCAGAAACCACCAGTATTCAAGAATATAATTTCAATAACTGAAAAAAGAGCCAGATAAGAAAATGGAAGCAGCAGACTCAGCAGTCACCGGGCAGGAAAATGAAATTAGGTCAAAACCTTAGTAAATGTAAAGCAGGTGTTTTTGTTGTTGCTATTGTTTTTAAATATGTATTTTTATTAATTTTAGAGAGAGAGGAAAGGAGAGGGGGAGAGAGAAAGAGAAACATCAATTGGCTTTTTTCCTGCACGCCCCCTACCAAGGATCAAGCCCACCACACTGGCCAGGGCTGAAGTAGTTTTAATTTATTGTTAGCAGGTTAACTTGACAGCTATTCTCAACTTTTTACCTTGTCTGTCTCTACTACAAAGGCTAACAAAGCTAAATATTTGTTTTCCAGCCTCCTTAGAAGATAGCCAGTGGTAGATTCTAACCAACGAGAAATAGGTACAAAGCAGACTTCTCAGAAAGCTTTTGCTCCCTTCTTCTTGCTTTGAAGTGACAAATTATGAATTGATAAAAAAAGTTAAGTTTTAATTCAATGTGTTCATCACCTAGCATCAACAACTGTCAAAACATGGATACTTTTGTTTCATCTACTCCTATACTTTTTAACTTTTGTTACTCTGTACCACCTAAAAAGATCCATTTCTAATTCTGTGATACAGTGTTTTAATGTAACATCTTTGGAATCAAACGAAGTTGGATCTAAGTGTAGGTGCTGCCATTTAATGGCTGTGTATCTGAAAGCTAGCTACTTACTATGTTTAAGCCTTAGCTATCTTATATGTACAATGCTGGAAATTATAGCTGGATGTCAACACATGCAAGTTATTGGATTTCTAGATCTTTCCAGTTTATGGTTGCACAGAGCTTGAAGCCTATTATTGAAGGGTTGGTAAATAATGTTTAGTTCTTCACCAGGCTGACTGCTACAATCCATGTTCTTATCTCTGCTGCCTAGAGCAGAAAGATAAAACATATATACTATCCTGCAAGTAGAGTTTGGACTGTCTATGTATTACCTATCTAGTGTAAAATGTGTTTCAGAGGCATAATACTCTTTACATATGCTGTATAATATAATCGCTAAGAACATGAACCTAAGTAACTGACATTATCTGTGTCAATGTGACGTTATAATAAGCATACGCATGAAAGTTGTGAGCAAAATGTTCAACCTGAATTTAACAATGAAGAAACAAACAGAAGAAAGTACAGAATGTAGTAAATGCTACAAGACAATTTTCTTGGATGTTTCCAAAGAAGTCAACATCATGAAAATATCGCCAAAAATAACCACAGGGTGGACTGTTCTAGACTAAGAGACTGAAATGCACAAATTTTTATTTGAATACTGAATTGGGAGTATGGATGCAGGGAGGAGGAGAGAGGCAGGAATAGTTATAAAAGGCATTTGAAAAACAGCTAGAAGACAGATGCTGAATTGAGCAGTGAATTGTCAAATAGTTCAAAAATATATATAATGATATAAATTAGATGTGGCAAAGTTTAATAATTGGTGAATAAAGATAAAGAACATATGTTTATTGACTTCAACTTTTTGCAGCTTAGAAATTGTTCAGAATAAAATGTTGGGGGGGGGGGGGCAAAGATCCATGAACTAAACAGACTCGTTGTGTCAATTATTTGTTGTGTGAGTATAAAATTTACCTCCCTGTGCCTCAATTTCCTCATCGGTAAAATCACAAATAATCATTATACATCTATCTCATAGGGTTGCTTTGAAGAATAAATAAATTATGTAAAGCACTAAGAATAATGCCCAGCACACAATAAGCAAAGAGCTATTATTTATTTTTAATATTAAAACTATGATGCACTGTATCTTTTCCCAAGGTAACCAACAACTCTTGTGTCTAGAAAGACCCAATAAAGACATAGAGAATAAGAAAAGAGTAAGAACCTAAATATACATTAGTTGAGGAATGACTAAATAGATTAAAGTATATAAACACAATGAAGCTTAAAAAAACAAACACACGAAGAATAGAGTAGCATATACTATTTGGCCATGGAAGAATCCCAAATGCCTAATCAAATTTAATTTATCTGTTAATTTTTTTGCAGAGAAAGCCATGAAGGAATTATTCAAGAACATATAACTTGAAAAAAGGTAAAAATGTAGGATAGAGTATTAAAGTGGCAGGCATGGAAAGCACATGTTTTAATAACATATGTGCATGGCCCTGGCCGGTTTGGCTCAATGGTAGAGCGTCGGCCCGCGGACCAAAGGGTCTGGGGTTCGATTCCCGGTCAAGGGCACGTACCTCAGTTGCGAGTTCCATCCCCGGCTGAGGTCGGGGCACATGCACGAGGCCAATAGATGTGTCTCTTTCTCGTCGATGTTTCTTTCTCTCTCTCTCTCCCCCCCTCCTCCCTCCCTTCCACTCTGTCTGAAAAATCAATGAAAAAAATATCCTCGGGTGAGGATTATAAACAAACAAACAAACAAACAAACAAATAAAATCTGTGCATGGAAAAATAGGCATATCTACAGAAAAAACTTCATAAACCCATGCCATTTATTCTGGTAAATTACTGGCAGCACATGTAACTAGAATCCTGTTACTGCCATTAATGCCTATCCACAGCAAGTAAACCATTCCTACCTAAATCCCTGAGTAAATAATTCATTCCTACCTAACTCTCTCACCTTCATAAAAATTAGACATCCCAATGGGTATCTGTGGGAAAATTTGTGGCTTAGAGATTTTCCATTTACAGTGGCAATAAAGCCTACCAGGTAACAATTTTATCTGTATGATAACCTATGTTTTTCTGCACAGCATCTATTTAAGGAAGCAACTCCAATCTCCATTCTTAGTCTTTATTATTCAAGTAGGGCTTATATCATACATAACTCCAGGAGTAGGCACATGACAATAACTGAGTTAGAATACCCTGTTCCCACAATCATTATAATTGGTTCAGAGATGGACAACTAACCCAGAATAGACCAAAGGAATCAAACCAAAGACTTCTACAGCAGTTATGAGGAAAGAGGTGTTTACTTTTTAAAAAAACTCCTGAAATTTGCTAGCTATACAGACCACTTAAGTACAGAACTATGGGGGTCACTTTGCTCTGTGAAGAAAAGAGTGCCTGAGATCTCACGTGGCCAAAGCAAAAGAGAACTGCCAAGAAACCAAAATATTTCTCACACTTTGATTTTTGTTAAGCATCCAATTCAGCTGCTTTGAAACTAGAACCACTCTGTAAGCTTCCCAGTTAAATGAGATATTAAATTCTCATGCTTTATTAGTAAAAACTACTTTGAGTTAGATTCATCACTTACAACTAGAGTCCTAAATAACCTCAAAAAAATTTGGTGATGTTTTCATAAAGAACAACAACAACAACAAAAAAATACCCACAAAAAGTAGCTGCCACAGATCTATTTGACCAAGAACATGTTACTCTAAGTCTAGTGATAAGGAACTTGACATCCAACTGTATCAGTATGTTTAATGATGCCAGGGAAAACATTTAATTTTATGTTACTCCAAGGGACATAAGAGAATACTGTTAAAATCACACTTTTCAACTGCTTAGGTGCCCTGTCTTCAAGAAGAAAAAGGTGGAAGACTTAAAGAATCAATTTGAGCCCGGCTGATATGGCTCAGCAGTTGAGTATCAACCTATGATCCAGGAGGTCACGGTTCAATTTCTGGTCTAGATACATGCCCCCAGCTGGGGGCACGCAGGAGAAAGCAAATCAATATTTCTCTTTCATCATTGATGTTTCTATCTCTACCTCTCCCTTGCTCTCTGAAATAATAATAGTAATCCTATATAATAAAGAGCTAATATGCAAATGGTCATCACAACCTCAGGGCTCAGACACTCAACTGGTGACCAGCCAAGGGACCTGAGGCCGCACCCCCCTCCCCAGCACCGGGTGACCTGAGGCCGTGTCCCCCACCCGGCAGGGCTTGACGGGGGTAGGGCCGGCCGGGTCTTGGTGTTGCTCAATGGGGGTGGAGCCGGCTGAACACTTCTATTATAAAGGGCAAATAGCAATATTAAAATATTTCCTCTAATTAATTCCCTTTTAATGTGCATGAATTTTGTGCACCAGGTCACTAGTGATAATAATAAAAGAGCTATTTTCAAGAATAAATTTAAGGAACCAACACATCTAGCTTGTTCATCTCCTACTTAAGGTGTATTCTGAAAACAGGTTCTAAGCCAGAAGAGAGCTTTAGACCTGAAATTAAATACTGGTGCTTGGGATGGGTAGTTTTTATAATTTATCATGGTTTATATTTGAGATGTGGAGGGGGATAGATAGGAGAATGGATGTCTACTCAAAAATAGATGAACCTTTCCAAGGAACACAAGCCAGCAAGGAATGAACCAATGATATTAAAAAGTATACCTGAGATTAAATTAGGAAGAAGTCAGAAGAAATGATATTTAATTCCTTTTGGAAAAAATTAAATACACTTCTATAAAATGAACACTTCAAATAAGCAATAGCTTTCTAAAAATATTTTTATCCAAGGTACCACATGAAAGGTATTAAACAGTTATATTTGAGCATTAACTACTTTTATAAATTTGCTACCTATAAAAAAGAAAAACTGTTCTTACTGTTGACGTAACTGTCGGCAGCTCTCAATATGAGTAGATGTATTTTGATGCTGAATCCAATCCTATTGTAAAAGAAGAAAAGTGCTGAACTTAGAATATTTCTCATGTTGAATTATGAATTAGGCTTTCTGGGTTGATACAGGATACTCCCTCCAAAAAATTAAACAAATCTCGTTACAGATAGTATTTGGCTATTCAATAAAATCTTTTACAACCAAAAATAAAAGCTTCCAAACAAAAGCAATTAATACCATATCTCATTTATGCCACTTTAAACATTTAAGTATTTTTTAAAAGATCATACCCACAAATACTCATTTTGAAATCAAATATATAAAGTTGGAGAAAATAAATGCATGGATCAGAAATAATTCATCTCAGATACAAAAACAACACACCAGAGAACACCAAAAACCCTATAAATAAAATGGCATCTGAAATGGCATCTTCAAAACATAGGGTTTTAATGACTTTTACCTCTAAAATTCAAGCTAATAACAGTAACAATAAAAAAAAATCATACCTCATAGGCCAGTACCATTCCAGACTATATTGGCAAAGAATAAGATTAGTAAAAACATGAAGAGATGATGATCAAATCTAATTTATTTTTAAGATTTAAGGGAAAGTAGCACCATTTCAAAGACACAATATCTCTTACATATAGAGCTTTTAAATAAACAAAATGCTTTCTTATACATTACTTCCCTTTACAAATCTGCCCTAAAATTACATTCTCTACCCATAAATAGCTCCTGGAAGATACATCTGATTAAAAAAAAAAAAGCAATAGTTTTCAAAGATACAGTCCTCCAAGTGACGGTTAAAAATAACATGTATATTATTCAATGTTTTATTATTTTTCCAGCATTTGGATAGGCAGAAAACTTACTAAACAGTTCTGTATTTGAAAACTTTCCTTGAGAAAAATGTTACTCATTTCTATTTCAAAAACACTTTATTCTGTTATTGCTAAAGACGAACTAGAAATTTCCAGTTAAAAACACAGCTGACACTATTTATAGAATCTGCCTTGTCAAGAAGTATCTGAAAATAAGTGAATGCTACTTGCAATACTCAACAACAGGTTATGACAAACCCTAAATTATTTCATTAAGCCATGGAACCAATTGTGCATTGCAAAAAAGAAATGTTTGCACATCTTGCTCAGTGATACAAGTAGAAAGCTTGTAGAGATTGGCAATTATAGAGTCTCTAAAACTGCTAAACCCATGTCTTTGACAGTAACTGGACACTGTTTACATCAAACAGACACATTGGCAGTAGTGGATTGGGTATGATTTATTTGAACTATCAAGTGTTTTATATAAATAAGTTGCCAACATTTAAAAATCCAGAGATTTTACCCCCAAATCTAGAGTCCCAGCTTTTCTTAAAAATAAATAAATAAATGAATGAATAAATAAATAAATAAGGACATAATATTGGACATGTATTCTCTATAGCAACTATCAGCTGATGTTGATAGCTGCCCTATTTAAAGCATATTCTCTCCAGTTCTACACACACATATACACATGTCCCACTCTCTACTTTTTTTTAATAGGTCCACTCACTTGTTGACATTACTTGCTTTAAGCTCAGTAAATATATCTATGCTACCCCAGTTTTGAGACTTCTATTAACAGTATGAAGATTAAAAGAAGGTCCCAAAGCAGTACTGCCTCTCCAAAGAGTGATAATTACCTAACGAAGCAGGACATGCTACAAGGACTATAGAGTTGAGAGGGCACAGAATCAAACTGAAAATATCTACCAGTATCAGAGCTCACTCACTATCTTCCAGCTACCTCAAAAATATCTTGCCAGTAAGTCCTCAACTGAATTATTTCAGTCAGAAAGACAGCTTTTAAACCAAACACAGCCTTTGTAACCAAGGATAGTAAAACAAACATACCTTCTAAACCCAGGACAGCTCCTCCTCCAACATCTAAATCCCAATTTAGAAATAGAAATACATTTCACATTATATAGTTGCTTTTTTCAGGGTACATTTTTAAAGACTCCAGAGGTGGGGAGTATATTGCCAAATGTTACTTTGCAAGAAAAAATTTGCAACTGATAATTTATATGCCACATATTCATAATGTCATATATATGCACTCATACAAGGCAATAAAATATATCACAGAAACAAGAGAAGTAGTTTGTATCATTAAATCCATGTTTGTTCACAAATTCCTATCACTTAGTCATCTAGTAGTGAAACATTGATTAGATTATGTTGTTCTGACTGTTAAAAGGTGTTTGTCTTAAATGGCAATCAATCTCAGTGAACTCTAGTGATCACTAAATGATTTCTTTTCTACTCTAAATTTTATTTTTATTATATTAACCCAGTCTTTCACTAGGGAAGCCTCAAATTAGTGCCCTGCTCTACCTCTTCTCATTCCTATTCACCTTGCACATGTCAAAGACATTTATCTCCCTAAAATATACTTTTTACACGTCACATAGCAAGAACCTTAATTAGCTTCCTAATGCCTCTCACCTTAAGTCTAAACTTCGTAGGCTAGCTTTTCAAGTCTCTGTACTTTTATTTGTTGCTCTCATCTGAAATTAATTCCTCCTCCCCCAGGTACACTAAAGCCTATTCATCATTCAGGGCCCACCTTCAACTTATTCCACGAAGTCCTCCCTCCCAGATTATTCAAGTCCAGAGAGATTTAGTGCAGCTAGTCACCATCACTCAATTAGTCTTATTGAACTAAACTATACAAGTTTCTTGATGTCAAAGTATATTCATACTTCTTTTTATCACATAGTGCTAAATACATAATAGGAAATTAGATAATGCTGGCCTGAATTGATATAAGCCTGAAATCAAAATAAAACTATGAAGTATCTCTCCCTTAAGCAAATCCAAACAAGATAAAAACAATCACCAAATTATTTGTTGTCCTGAATTATTTAATTCCTGAGGTGTGTAATTAGGAGGCAGTGAGACTCTATAAACGGTTAAGAACATCTAAATTTTCTATAGTTTTTCAACTCTGCCCTAGTACCTAATATCGGATTGTATAAAACTAGTAATCAATAAATACCAATTGAACAAATGTATACCTTTTCTATTCTACAGAATAAAAATGAAAACTTTTAAGTTCTTTATTTTAAGGTATTTTCCTTGGATTCATCATGACTAACTGAAAGTTCAAAATAAATGGAATACAGAAAGCCTAACACTCAATTCAGTACTTAGGCCAGGAGTATTTACAGATTATAACTAAGTGTTATAAATTATTCTGAGATTTTTCAAGACTTTGCTATCCTCTTTGGCAGAGTCAGGCAACTATTATTTTATTAGAACACAGTAAATCTGGCTAAAATGAGGTAGAATGCTGCTTTCCTTTGCTGGAGTTAACCTTATGACAAAAGCATCAGCTCTAGGTATCAGATTCTTGTTGGCTGAAACCTGATGAGTGGGTAATAGACAATAAAAAGGCAGCATTGGAAGGAGAAAAAGCAACAAGAGAATACCTATAGATTTTTAAGCCTATTCAAAGTATACAATGCTATGGCCTTCAATCAATGCTTATTATCATGAGAAGTACATTTCTTCTTGGCCATTTATGATCTAAATCTACAAATCACATCAGTAAGTAGAAGAAACAGTGGTTTCCAAATATATATAAGTAAATAAAGCATACTTGGAAATTCCTACTCAAATCTACCAATGATTACTAACAGTATTCTACATTACTCGTCAGCACCTCTGTAAAACGCTTCCTTCTAACTGTACTAACCATGAAGATACCTAAGGCTTCTTTATTTTTAAAATATTTCTCTCTAAATTTTTATCAGTTTACACTCTATTTGCTGACCCCACAATTAGTCTCCAAATGACTCGACTCAATTTTGCTATGATTAAGTTAGGAAGCTCCTTCTCATAAAACATTAAAAATCCTAGTCCAGATAGTCAGAAAATTATTAAATTGACATTAACTGTCTTTAGCCCAAGACACGTAGATACATGCAAGGCTACAACATACTATCTCTTCAAAGTGTATAGTACAAATGTTTTATTCCAACTTTTTATTTTTATACTAACAGATTCTCTTATTTAAAGTGACTTATGTGACATTGTCTTTATAAGGATACAGTTTATGTTACATAAATTTTATGCTGCATAAATTTCTGGGATAACTAATCAAAAGTTCAAAATAAATAGACGAACCATGTGGTGTGCCCAGTTACAGGAATACAGAAAGCCTAACACTCAATTCAGTACTTAGGCCAGGACTACTTAGATTACAACTAAGTGTTGATGTTGCAATCAAAATTAACTTCTGCCATTTCCTTAATGCCTAGTTAACACCAATGTACTTGAGAACAGCGGAAACTTGGGCGCTGTGTATCATTATACAGTGTTTAAAAACACTCACCTTCAAATGACTACATTCTACGTTACAGAGAGAACAGAAATGTGGAAATATTCTTGGAGATGCTGCATAATAGTCATTCATCATAGAAGGAGTTGGTAGTCTCTTCATCTTTTGGACATCAGAAAGCTTGGGGAGCCAGGATGCTTTCACAATCCCAAAGGGTGACCGAATGGGGATGTCAGCCTCCGATTGATAATTCTTTTTATTTCCTCCTGGTCTGTGGACATTAGATGAATTAATCACAGGCTCACGTGGGATCCGCTCTTGCTGGCTTACAGCTGGAATTAATTCCGATGAAAAAGGTTGCTGGTTCATAGATGGAGGAATCAGAGACCAACTCATTGCCTGGTTAACTGTTTGGCTAATGGACTGGCTGACACATTTTACAGGTTCAAGGACTGGCTGTCTTCCTGTAATGTGTAAACCTGGCATCTTAGTTCCACTCTCAACTGGGAAAAAGGACTGATTATTGGAGGACTCACCGGGGAAGTCCATCTGTCGAAACACATCTTCAACAGGAAACATAGAATTACATATCACATTTGGTGCAGGAACAGATGCAGAAATGCTCTGCTGTGACCGAAAATCATTCTTGACCTCATCAGTTGGAATTTCAGGATCATAAATACGTGCTTCAAGTGGATCTTCTGTATAGCCATATTTGCTTGCATGCCCATAATCAATCACATTACTTGAAACTGCCTCACTACCAAGTGTTTCTTTATTTCTGCTCTGAGAAGGTAAATTAGGTAATCGGCGCCCCATTTTTCGCATTCTTATATCCCTCAGAATTAATGGCATATTTTCAGGAGTTAGCTGTTCATCAGGATAGCGACTGAGTTCTTCTAAATCTTCATTAGATAATCCAAAACTTGCTAAGATACTTGAGGCACTCTCTTTTGTATAGCGGCTCTGCACTTTAGGACTCTGCTCTGTAACCTGTGTTATAGGACTCTGTTTCACTGCCACTGATGCAGGTATTTGAGACTCATCATCCCACCGGCTACCATGAGGCTTCTCTTTCTTTTGTTGTGCTTCATGAAAATCCAATTTTTCTTTGGTCAATCTTGGATCAGTTCGGTGCTGAGTTACCTGAACATTCATTCTCTGTGGTCCCATGTTCTGATAAGATTCATGGCCAGCAAATCTGGGTGGAATTCCACGGGCTCTCCCTGCTGGGTAAAATCTTGGAAGACCCATAGCTCCCGGCCTCATAAATGGTCCTGGAGGCCTCATCCCAGGAGGGTTAGGTACTCGTGGTCTCTGAAGTGGAAAGTTTCCTCGAGGATTAAACCTGGGTCTTGACATGGCTATTTTCAAGAAAGCCTGATTTAATAAAGTATAAGGTGGTGTTGAACTATGTGAGGCAACGGCATTCAGCTGCTGAAGCGCCAATTGAGTCTTAATCTGAGCAAAGTGCAAAGGAGATGGGCCCAACAGAAGTGGGTTTGCAATGCCCAGGTTCAAGGAATTCACAAGTGGTGCGAAATTTTCCAAGAATAACACAAAGCTGAAAGTTAAAACACAAATATTAGATCATTTTAACTCAAACTACTTCATGAAGTGGGGTCTATAGCCAGTGTAAAACATTTTGAAACAAAGCCATGAAAGGATTCTGCATTTCATACACGTTGAGATTAAGTGCTTACAAGGATTTTAAACTTTCCCCAAAACTTTCTCTTCTTCTTCCGAATTCAGAACACAAACCCAAACAAACCTCAAGCCAGAGGTTCATGCATACTGTTACATTGGGTGCTGTCCTAGGTGCTGAGCGATAATTACAACTCCTAAATAATCTTGAAAAATGGGATTACTTCATGCTTTAATATGGAGAAAAAAAATGAAAGCATTAAATACTTAGAAATGCACACACTCTTAATATTTGTTATCAGATGTACAAACAATGAAAACAGGAACTGTAAACTTAAAATTTTACAAGACCCATTTCTCTAAGACACACCTTCCTTGGAACCACAGCTAATTAAATTCCATATAGCAATTAGACTATGCTTAAGGTTCTGCTGTTAAACAGTTGTTTCTTTTAAGATGCAAACTTGTCACCAATAACTTGACTACAGAGTCTGACAAAATAGTGTGCAATAGCAAGTATTTGATTATAACATACAGAAAAATATGCAACAAAACCAATCACCTTTCTCTTGGATTCCCTCCAAGGTGAGCATATAGACAAATATAGGCGTGGCCAAAAGTAGGTTTACAATTGTGAGTACATGAAAGTTTATTCTTGTATTATTATTATTACATTATTTTATTTGTATTACACCTATAAACCTACTTTTGCCTACCCCTGTATATATGGACAATAATAATGATGAACTATAGTGTTATAGAGTACTGTACATGTACTTTACACGGACTGATTCATTTCTCACAACAACCCCGAGATATGCACACTTTTACGAGGATACTAAGGCACAGAGAAGTTAACACACTGTGGACCAGTAGTTTTATTACTGGCATTACTCAGTGGCCAGGTAAGTTTCTAATGAACCGGTACAAAAAACATTTTACATAAATGTTAAAGACATGCCTTAAAATTAAATAGCCATTGCATTTGAAGTTATTTATTACATGTTCTTACAAGCTAATATCTTTTTAAAGTATGATACTTTGTAAAACACTGTGTAATATGAAGCGAGAATTATCTTGATCCAACTGCAATGTGTTAAGTAACTTACATAGATAAATGGCCAGGCCAAGATGTGCATTCCAAGTATTTTGGCTCCATAATCCATGCTCTTAACTACCAGTAGATGTGAGCAAGAATATCTTGCAGGTCCCAGGCACTGTATTAGTTAAAACTGGTTGCTGCCCAACCCTTCGGAATGCAGCATAACTCACTCCAAGCCAGTTCTCAAAGAAATCGCACTTTAGCTATCATTCAGGACCAAGGTCAGCAGTCAAAGGACTCGCTGGCCCTTTTAGTTAAAAGAAAAACACACACATACCATGCCTATTTCTATGAAGTCCCCCTACTTTGATATCCAATAGAAATGCAGGGTGGGAACATATATAATGTTAATGAAATGGAAATTCAGCTGAGATATAGGCTTTATCTGATAACACTCTTCCTTCCAACCATCTCACAGGCTGCCACTACATTTAATTTTTATAAAAGGACATTCTTGCCACATCACCCTCTATTAAACAATCCAAGAGCATCTCATTCCCTTTATGTCTTAGTTTTATGTGGAAAGTATAACCAACCTAGTCAATTTCTACCCTCCTAATTTTACCAAACACTTATTCCAGCTAGGCCATTGCTCCTATTCCTCTCTTCTTTCCTCCCTTCATCTCTTCCAATCAAAACACATGAAGGAAACAACTTTGCCTTGACCTGATTTATTTGATTTTACTCATTCTTCAAGGTAAGTCTCCATTAAACCTTCCTTGACCACCAAGGCTCAGAGTGAGTCTTCTAACAAACTTTATTGCTTATACCATTTTGGGACTTGTACCTTTTACTATCTTATTTTTGTGTTCATATGTATGCAGTCTTTTCCAACAACCTAGTCTCAATTGAAGGCATGCTCACTGTTGTCTTATCTCCTGAGGATATAACTCTACTCTTACTTGTTATACCCTCAAATATTTGTTAAGCTATTTGCATTATCATATCCAAAGTCCTCATACTTGACAAGGACGATTTTCAAATTAGAGTAAACACAAAAATACATTAAGTATTATGTAGGCTTCTAACTCACTAGGTGCAAGTAGCAGGCACTAGTTACTAAACAATGATATCCAAATTTTCTGTAAATAATGTTCATTTATCACAAATTCCAGGTCTTTTTAAACAATCATAAATCATATGAACTGTACCTACCTTCTATAAAATAAAATACTTCTAAGAATAACTCTATATTGACCCAGTCTTTAAAAATAATCACTTATGCAAGCAGTTTGTCATCCAGTTATACTCTTTCTGCACTATTTTCCTGAATTGGTGAAGATTCCTTTCACAGCTTCAGAAGCAAAAACTTTTCCAAATATTGTTTCTCCCCCATAACAAACCAAAAAGGAACAGATTTCAATCAGTCATCTAATTACCACATAGAATTATGAACATGTATCATTAGAAATACTCACATTTTAAATTCCTTAACAATAAAAAAACCTGTCTATGCACGTTAATATTCCCAGCACTGTTTTAACACTGATGTAAATATACATTAATAGACTGCAAGAGAGCAGCCCTTCATATGGTGTATTCTGCAGAAAGCAGAGTACTGTAAGACTGTAGGTCTTCTACAGAGGAGTTGCCTGGTCAAGAGAGTGTGAAATGCTCTTGTGCTGCCCTTCTCAGAGGGGCACAATAACTGTTGCATATTAAAGGCTCTGAGGTGCACTGTTTACCAAAAACCTTTTTTTCATTTTGCACTTCTCAATTTGAGTTTTCCTTCATGTGTATACCCAGGAGTGATATTTGGAGTATTTAGTAATTAGTAAAGCACAAGCAATGAATAATCAACAGCAATATGAGTCCCTCCTTCGTCCACTGCCCTTAAGTTTTTAGTTGCTGTGCACAAGGTGATGGTAGGGCAGTCCTCAGGAAGAAAGTACTAAGATGGGGAAAATAGAAGTCCATCCACCTTCGGGGTAACAGCTATTTACAAATCATGGCAAAATTATTTCAATATTTTAACAATTGGCATATCTGTACCAGTGTGTAATCACTGAAATAGTCCTGAAAAGACACCAGTCTTTCACGCAACAGTCTAAAATATATACAAAGGATTAAAAGGCCTTTTCCTAACTAAAGAATTTCAACTATCAATAAGCAGAGTTTTGGCTTGTTTGCTTTTAGGAGCCTTAAAAAGCTCACCCCAGACTTCCCATATCATCAGTCCATTGTAAAATCTAATAAAATGAGGACAAAATTAACAGTCCTAGCTACCCAAAGAGACCTCTCCCATCTCTCGGTAAGACAAATCAGAGGTCTGTTCAGCCATAGTTATTTATTAAGCATTCTGATTCCAGGACCTGCTAGCCAAAGATACGAAAATTTCTCTCTGGGCATGAATATCGTGGAAAATCCATCATTACACACAAATGTCACATTCAACAGGTATCCTCCACCAACCTCCTCTCTGAGAATAAATGTATTTAATCCTCCTGTACTTTAAGCCAACACTTCTCCTAACCTTTATCCCAAGACTCCTTCCAAATTTCAGACTTTTAAGTCTAGCAGGTTTTATTTCCTTTTGTTTGTATTTAGTAACATTTTCAGACAGTAATTCACTAACATAGAATCATCAAATGCCTTCTTACGCTATACCGTATCATTTCTAATCCAGGTAGAAAAGTTTCCAGCAATGTAGTTCATCAAAACATCAGTAACGAGAAATTACATAGCTATCTGCATTTCTATTCTCATTATAATGATGTAAATTTTAAATCAAAGCATGAAACACAATGTTGGGCATTAGCAAGAACTGACAAATACATTTTTGAAACTCTAATAAAAAGTCTGCCTACAATCTGTACTTCAAATAACACTATCTTCAATGGGTAAAAAAACAAAACGTAATCTATTTTCTTTATGAACGGAATTTAAGTATATTCATATTTCACTTGCATTACTCTTAAAGTGTAAAGCACATTTTTAATCATTTAGGTAAGTTACCGTTTAACCTTCTTACAGCTATCATTCCCATTCACTCCAAATGCTTTAAGTAAAAAGATGTTTATATTTATATTTCAACCTTTCTACTTATAAGGAATTATAAATTTTATTTTGCAATTCTATAATTCTGAAGCCTTATTTCTTCAAATCTAATTTAAGGCAAGCCCCACACCATCAATTTCCTTTTTTCACATCTTTTCTCCCCTTTCTCATGTTTAGACCTACCAATGATGCCCCAGCATAAAACTACTTAATGCAAATACAAATACTAAGACCTGATAGAAACAGGAACTTATGGCATTCTCAAATGATCCATGGGAATAAAATTCCAAAAATCAAGTATCAGGTCATTAAGGATATCTTTTAAATATATCAGAATAAATATATAAGAGTAATTTCAAAACCAGCTGTTATTCATACAATTAAAAAAAATTGTTGTTTTAGGTGAGGAAGTAGAAGGTCAGTAAACCAGAACAGATCTCTTCCTTCATAGAACTAACACGTTTTAAATATGGAGCTAATATTTCATAAAAAATTAAAGAAACCAAAATGATAAAATATAGTTAGAAATCTCCTGGAATTTTCCCTTTTCACACCTTTGTAATTAATGAGGATTTGCAGAAACTGGAAGTTGGTTGAATAAACTAAAGCAGCCGTGGGCAAACTACGGGCTGTAGTTTGAAATGAATAAAACTAAAAATAAAAAAAAAAGACCGTAGCCTTTTATGTAATGATGTTTACTTTGAACTTATATTAGTTCACACGAACACTCCATCCATGCTTTTGTTCCGGCCCTCCGGTCCAGTTTAAGAACCCATTGTGGGCCTCGAGTCAAAAAGTTTGCCCACCCCTGAACTAAAGTAAAAAAAGGAATGCTACTATACATCCCTGTTAAG